AAGATCAGGCCCCTGCCTCTAGGAGAGGTTCAGTGTTATGTCCAGCAGCACCTGGTGCATCTTGTGAAAAACAATCAGTCAATGTGGCAGACCCCATCCAAAGCACTTAAAGTCCCTTCAGCTTATCTGGGGGATCCAGGGACCTACAGACCACTGCAGAGCACCTCCTCCTCTTTGTACCATTCAAACCCACAGAAATAGTAGGGATTTTGTGAATTTTAATACCTCAGATATCCCCTCAAGTTCTCCGTGCCTCAGTACAAGGAATACTAGGAAGCTGAAGCTATTTGGTGAACTAGAAAAATAAGTATTAATAAATTAGGAAATATACTACTAAACAGTAATGATATAGAAGTAGGGACCACAGGCTGCTTCAAAAAATTTCACAGGTTCACAGAAAAATTCACAGAATTAAGAATGGTAGGTACAGGTTTGTCATTTCATTGCATCACCAGATTAGAAACCCTTTCTTACTTTGTGTTTTGTCTATATTCTCTTTGAATTTTTTCTGATAAAGTAATTCCCTTTATTATTCCCTATATTACAAACATGAAAAACAAGTGCAAGCAAACATGGCATGGCAAGAGCTGCTTCGCCACAGCCTCCACAACAAAAGATGAAGTGGAAATTGCCAGTCAAGGAGGTTGAAGAACTGTCCAGCAAGATTCTCAGGGAGCTGAGTGAGGTTTGGTAGGTACTATTAGCAGCCACAGGGAACAAAAGAAAAAGGAAACATGTAAAAAAATCTAATGAATAAGCAACTTAGAGCTTTCAGAAGCAAATTTAAGTTTTATTTCTGCAGATAAACCAGTAGAAGAAATAGTGTTCAATTTCTTATCAACCTCCTATTGTACTAAGCTTCTCAAATTTTGGATAGCCTTTATGGTCTTTTATTTGATAGGTTAAGATTATTATTATTTTTTCTCGGTAAGACTATAGAGGCTTAAGGCAGGAGAGCTATTGGATACTTGTGTGAGAGTGTACAGGCATTTTAAATTCAGGTAGCAGAGGAAGGAAGGGATGCTAAGCACCTTTTCTGATGAAATCACTTCCACTCTGGGAAATGGATCTGGGAAATGGAAGGGGATAAGCTCTGCTTAATGCAGTAGCTCTGTGAAGTTAAACCAAACTTTTGAGAGCCCAAGTTCCTTATTTTTGGAGTTCCCAATTTGAGAAATGAAAGATGATTTGCAAAATTAACAAAAACCAAGAACTGCAGCTGAGAGTGACTGAAGCTTTGAACGTATCAGAGATATATAAAGCTAAACACATGGAAAAATCTGCATCCAAATTCTGGGAATGCACCCAGAGGGAAGAGAGCTGGTGACTTTGCCTTGGTGTGCCCTTGTTTTGGATGTTTCTAAGTGACCACCACACAGACTAAGCAGGAAAATGATTCTGAAGTAAACTCATTAATAATTTCAAAGCCTTTTGTTTCCTGGGTGACTGCACTAGAGATTCCTACAGCATGAGTTAAATAAGGCCTTAAAACCACACAGGCTCAATAAAATAAGGTATTTAATAAAATATGTAATGTTTCCTTGGTTTTTCCCTAACTGAAAGGAATACAGCTGTTACTGCACTTCTTAGAATCAAAACCAGTTACTATGCAATAATGGGAATTTATAGTCCTTTCTTCACATACTCAAAAATTATTTTTCACCTTTTTGGGCATAGCTAAAGGAAATATCAATACTTTTTTTTTTAAAAAAACCCCATTTATATTTAGGGCCCAAACTTCCTCATCTGACATATTTTTCTGTTACCCATTTCTTACTGATGGCAGAACTTGATCTCTACTGAGAGTGTATTGCTATATATAAAATAAATTGTCCTGATACCTCAAGTAAATCCTGTGGCTTCTCCCCTTTTAATACTGAGCTGCCAATTTCAACAATTCATGCATGTACAGCCAAAAAAATCTATAGAAATTGATTCTGGGCCAAAGCAGGAAATCATCTTTGACAAATTAATTAGAAAGTGATGCTATTAGAAATGTATCTGTTTAGGACCTTCTCTGATTTGCCTTATCACACCCAAAAATAAACACTTTATTGAAGCACCATCAAACTTTTTAAGTGTATCTCTGATACACTTAAGTGTGAGGTAAGAGTTTTTACTGGATTAACATTTTCCAAAACTCAGAGGAATAGAATACTCCACTGTAAACCCCAGTGAAAGGCCTAAACCAGAGCAGAAGCAATCAAGTTATTCACAATGTCCTTAGGCAGTTTACAGGGGAAGTCTCAGATAAGTCTCTGCAAGATTCTAGGGAGTGTTCCAAGGAGAAAGGGAAATCAGCTGACTTCTTGGTAATTGTGTGAATAAAACATACAGGAAGCTCTATTTATTGTCGAATCAGAGAATGGGAGAGATTTTTCAGATATTAATATCAAGCCTCTGATAGTGTTCTGCAATAGAAATGTCACTATTTATTGTGGGGAGGGAATTCCCTGTAAGGTAATGGCAAGGACACAGCAGCATGCAATGTATTTTTGAACTACTTTATGCTATATACTTCAGCAATTAAGTGAAATCTTAACATATTTCATAAATGGTCTAGGTTTTCCTGGGCAAAAACCTGAAAACCAAACCACAATTCATAAATTCATTGTAATGATCTCTTCATCTGGGGCTGCTGAAGCAGTATTTGAGGACTTACATCATCTTCAGGGTGCTGCTAATCTTTCCAATGTTTAAACAATTTGTAGTTAAGCTACAACTCAGAAAAAGTGTTGAAAATAGGACAGTTTGTTCTGTAAAATCCTAAAAAACAGAGGAAGCTTCTAATAAGGTTTCACTTGGATGCATTAATTTTAAAACAAGGAAGAATTCTTTTCTAGCAAACCCCAAAGAAAGAAATTCATTTGACCAATGATTCCTCTAGAGACCAAGGATTCTTTCTAGCTCCCAATTTGCTCTAAAAGAAAATGATGAGCCATACAATACCTTGAATAATCACACAGCATAATTTCATATAGCTTCTTAGAGAATTTACCAAAACTCTTTGCATGGTACAGTGACAGTCTCCTGTGGGATTATCTAGTAGGGTTTGTTAGGAAAACAGATAATCCTCCAGTGAGCCAGTGGAGATAGGCACTGGAAGGAGGGAAAACCAAGGAAACATTTAATGTTTTAAAATCAAACCACAAAACACAGGTTTTGCTTCTTTTCCAGTTATTTCATCACTCATGAAATCAGTTAGCAGCAGCAGTGTAGTAATTAGACACCTAATGCTGTGACAGGCTAATTGTCCCCTCTCCCATGGAGGTGCTGTTTTACATGGTAAGGGACACAGGACACAGTTATTTTCTGGTGCCTTAGAAGGAAAATGCAATGGCTTGGACAATACAGCAAGATTACAGAATTACTAAATTCAAACCATCAGATTTCCTGGCAGAACTGCCCTGGGAGGTGCAAGAGGAGCTGCTGCAGGAGCTGAGGTGAATGGTCTGGAGGCAGGAGGATGTGAGACCTCCTGGCACTGCTGAGGCTTCTGCCAGTGAGTTCTGGGAGCTGCTTCTGAGTCAGAAGCCAGCTCTGTCTGTTACTGTTAATTCATGGCTTGGAAGCAGAAGTGCACATTGATTCAGGAAATGAAGTCAAGGTCAGCTTCAGAATGCACAGAATTATTTAATAATTGTATCACACGAGAGCTCTCAAAGACAGCTCTCTCTTTATATCTCCTTGGGGACTGAAAGCCCACTTTAGGATTTTAATATTGTAGGTTATTGTGGGGCATCCTATTCAGTTTTTAAGTGGCAGTCTACTGTACTTAGTAGCACACTGTACAAGTTGTTTTAACAGTACCAAGGCAAAAATATGACAATCAAAATATTAACATTAGTCACACCTTTCCTGCCTTACAATTATAATCCTACTAAGAACAGTTTATCTGTTTTTCTTACCTATTAGGTATTGCTTTGTTCCAATAAGTCTTGTGCAAAGCTGCTTTCCAGTTGATATTTTTGACAAGTTCAACTCAGTAGCTTCTGTACTTACTCAACAATCTGGGTTAGTTAGATGTTTTAGAAAAGACTAGGAAGTTATTATTTTGCAAGCTTATTTAATGCTAGTAGCTAGCCAGATCTACAAGTGGCTGTGATTAATCAGATCTTCCTTGACCTTCCACTTCATACTAAGCTGTCCAGACTATTTTGCCCCATTACTGTGAAACCCTTACCCCTATCCTGAAGTTTGGTTGTCTTGTTTCACTTCTTTACCTCTGCTGCATAATCCCTGTGCATTTTAAATTAAAGCATGAAAAATATTTATCATGGAATCATAGAATATCCTGAGTTAGAAGGGACCCACAAGGATCATTGAGCCCAACTCCTGGCCCTGACAGGACAGCCCAAGGTCACACCCTGAGAGTTTTGTCGCAACACTTCTTGAGCTCTGTCAGGCTTGGTGCTGTGACCACTGCCCTGGGGAGCCTGTTCAGGGCCCAGCCACCTCCGGAGGAAGAACCTTTTCCTAATATCCAAACTGAATCTCATGGCCCTGACACAACTCCAGGCCATTCGCTCGGGTCCTGTCACTGATCACCACGGAGAGGAGATCAGTGTCTGCCCGTCCACTTCCCCTTGCGAGGATGCTGAAGAGCTCACTGCGGTGCTCCCTCAGCCTCGGGGCCGCGCTGCCCGCACTGACAGCGGGTTTGTGGAGGCACCCCCGCCCCAGAGCCGGCCCCACACAGGCACAGGGAGCGGGGACAGCGCTGCCCGGCTGTGCGTGTGCGCCAAGCGCCACACGCAGGTGTGCTCTCACATTTGCACACCTACGTCCACCCTTCCCTCCACTCCTTCTTCCTTTCAGGGTTTGAATTCAGCATGGGGCCGCAGCGGCCCTGACGCGGCCGGTGCATGTGGCCAGCCCGCGGGGCGCACAGCCGCCCGCGCTGAGGGCCGGGGGCTGCCGGCCGGGGCTGCCGGGCCCTCAGGCTGCCAGAGCCC